GCAACCATTCTTCTTTCAGACAGAATCAACATCTCCTTTGTTGGTCTTATGGGAGATCAGCACCACCCTTTGATTCAGGGCTTAACCGCCCAACCTGTTGGCACCACGATGTGGTGCAGCCCCTCATGTCCATCCGCCGCTCAGTAGTGGGGCTCTGCACTGCCGTAGTGAACTGTGGGGGGTGCCCCACAGGAATCTACCTTGACTTGGGGACTACAGAGTAATGGGTTAAATAGAGGGTGTCCACTTCCTTATCACCAATTGGTTTTAAGAAAGATATGGCTGCTATTTAACCACAGAACTCTGGAGTTAAGCGAGCCCGGGGTAAGAAAGCCCAAGGATGGGTGACCCACTGGGAAGTTTGTCGACAGGGGTGAATCGATCCAACATCCTTAATCTCACAACACCATCTACCTGAACCGCCATCCATGATATATTTCAGCGCTTCAGTGGAATCTATCTCAACTTGGAAATCCGAAAAACCTTCACCCAGGATCCAGTTCGTAGCACTGATAACCGCTTTAAGTTCAGCTTCTAGCGCAGATGAAGCCTCCAGAGGGAGGGACGTTGCAAATTGAGGTGAGAAGCTCGCATCTATATTCAGTTTATAGGGTTTAGATTTACTCGGCTTCTTCCAACTGATAACGAGTACATGAGGCCTAGCTAATGTATATGTATTCGGAATGAGCTTTTCCTCATACAAGAGTTCGCCCACTTTAAGCATTTTCCTGTAGGAAGGCTTGTGACCCATGATTTCTTGGTATTTAATTAAACTTAACAAGTATTTAAACTATTTTAATTAAACTTAACAAGTATTTTGCTTTCTTTTATTTTCCTTATTACTACTTACTAATATAAATATATAATTATATACTCTATGGTAATTATATTTAAAGAATCTTTTGTCATATAGGAAGTATTTTTTTTACATTTGCCCGCGGGCCAACCCGTTTAACTCACAGATTAGGTGGGTTGTTGGCTTAGTGTTGTAGAAATTTTGGCCCATCACTAAACGGGTTGCCCCGACCCAACCCACATAAAGCATAACCAATTACGAGTTGGGTCGGGTTGACCCGTTATACAAATTGTTTGTAATACAGAACTCATAGTGATTCATAAGTTCATAACAATCACATTCGAAAATCAAAGTGAATATATGCATTGGCCAATGACATTATGATCAGGTAACCATGCATGATCCCATACCATGACATCCCTACCATCACCAGCTCTCCATCTAACACCTCTGGAAATCACCTCATGCGCCGCTAATATAGTGCGCCACACATATGAGGGATTTACTCCTAGTTTTGCTTCAAAAACTCTTCCGAACAAGGATTTCGAATCATGAATCAGTCTCCATGCTTGTTTTCCAAACATAACCCCCCTTTCTGTTTTGGTGCACACATTCCTTGCCAAGGTTTCCACCGAATGCCTCGTTTTGTCATGCCCACCCCTCTCCATCAATAACGTAACTATTCATTAGTCTTTCAACTTCATCACAAAGATCCTTTGGGAGGAGAAACATATTCATTGCGAACGTTGGCATGGATTGGATAACAGACTTCAAGAGAATCTCTCTTCCTGCTAGTGAAAGGTATCGATGATTCCAAATTTCAAGTCTTTGTATAGACCATTCCTTCAGATAATCCAATATTTCGTTTTTACGACGTCTCACAAAAGATGGAAGCACAAGATACTTCTTCGACCCTAAATCTCATACAACCCCCAAAGACTTAACTTAATTACCCACAATCTTGAACATTTGCACATTAAAAGAGATAGGAAGTATTTGACTTATTTAAATTGATGGTCTATCCCGACATTGATTCGTAAAGCTGGAGTGTACCACGAATCTTTTCACTCTCCTTAACAGAGGATTTAAAGAACAAGAAAGTGTCATCAACGTACAGAAGATGGGTCACTTTAGAAGCCCTTCTACCCACTCCAATTCCACTGATGTTGTCACTTTAGGAGACCTTCTACCCACTCCAATTCCACTGATGTTATCCTTTACTTCACCTTTTACGTAATCCTTGCGCGCTTTGGCACTATCGGACCCAACACTCCTCTGTCAAAAGGTATAAAATATTGCACTGTACCTACACATTGCATCATCAGTGAAATCCCATTCTCATATCCTTTACTCATATTGAGTTTTAGGATGTTTTTACTGGGATTAAAATTTGTTAGTCTGGTCTTCTCTTGTCTGGTCAGGTCTAATCCGGTCTGGTCAGGTCTAATCTGGTCTGGTCAGGTCTGGTAAATGTCTGATCTATGTGTATATTATAACTATGGAAGTCTGGTCTGGCCTGAACTGACCTGGTCTGGTCTGGTTTAGAACCAAGTAAAAAAGTCCTTAATGTCGCATACCCCTCTTTTCCTTGTGTTTTCCTCTTTAGGTAATGCTGAGTTTCAAATGCAACTATAGTATTGTCTATGTCCAAACAAAGGCACTTTGGTTTTCAGATATAATAATAATATGTAAAATGCCTTTCATTTTATTTACTAATATAAAACTAAAAAAATCCACTTCCTTTGGAAACTACAAATAAATCTTTGAAAAATCAACAATAATTCCACATTTTGACGATATTCTCAAAATATTCACATATTTTTACGTAATCCCATAATAATCCCACATTTACAACCTCATCTTCTTTTTTTGATCCATGACCGAGTGGTGACCTACTATAGCAGGATTTTTTTTCTTTGAAAACATTACACAAATAATCTCATATTTCACAGATCTTCTCAAAATGGTCTCATGTTTCATTTTCCCTTTTCCCCCTCATATTTTTCTTTCTTTGTTTTTATTTGTAGACACTTTTTAATCTCTTTTACATCTTTTTTTATTTCTTTTTCATATTTATGTATTCTATTATTCACTCTATTAGGAGACTTTTTTTGTAAATTTTCTTTCTCGGAGAAATATTTTTTCCATTTTCTTCTTCCCATGTTTTTATTTCTTTTCTCTTTTATGTGTTTCTTTTTTTTAGCGAATTTTTTTAATTAAAATCTATCCAGAAGAGTACAAGATGATGAAAGAAATAAAACCGCTAAAAAGTGAACAATCCCATAGACCCTGCAAATCCCTAAAGTAAAAACGATTAGCTTCCCGTCAAATTGTATTGAGTTGCCCGAAAGAGATGAAATCCCCAAAATATCCAAAAGCTATTTTATACTCTGTAAAAGATGTTTTCCATTCTACTTTTGTTTTATTTTCTTTTTATTTTCACTTTCCTTGCATTTTCATTCTTCTTGTTACTTTTTTTGTGTGTTATACCTTCTTTCATCTTTTCTTTCTTCTTGTTATCATAATTTCGTCATTAATATATTGTTTCTACTGAGCATTTTTCCATGAATATTACTAAATTAATTAAATTCAAAAGATAAAAATATGACATATTTTAAAATTTTCAAAAAATTGACATATTTAATGACTAGTTTCAGTGAGTTGTCACTCTGATCGTTTGACGGGACACTCAAATTTTCAAAGGTTAGCTCCCCGTCACATTTTCACCGATCTTCTCAAAACGATTAGCTCCCCGTCAAATACGATTATCCAATTTCTCGTACACAATGACTAATCATATTTTTGTCCAAAAAAACATAACTAGTCATATTTTTATTCGCAGCATCTCTTTTAGTAATATATATGTCATTTTTTATTTCTGCTTTCTGCATTATTGTATTTTTCTAAGTAGTCACGCATTAATTCCATCAAGTACCGGAAAGACTCTTTGTGAAAAAAATTAGAAAAAATAAAGTATAAAAAAAATAAATCAATCAGAGAAATTTAAGAAGAAAAAAATGATGTATAATATTTACACAAAAATGGATAGATGAGATGAGAATTAGTTGAAAGAAAAAATAAGAAGAAATCTAGAACAACAAAGAAAAAAATGACTTCTAAGGTCACGAAAGAGAAAAAAGAGGAATAAAAGGAAGATAAAAAAATTAAAATAAAAGTAAATGAAATAATAACGAATAGTGAGGGGAATAAAGATCTTTAAGAGAGAATTATTTGTATAGTAAGTTAGTAACACATAAAAACGGAAATAGAGTAAAAATGCGGAAGAAGAAGAAGAAAAAAGAAAGAAAGGAAAAATCTATTTACGAGAAATTCTACAAAAAGTCTTCTGATAAGGCGGAAAAGAAATGCATCAATAGATAAATAAATAAATAAATAAATAAATAAATAAATAAATAAATAAATAAATAAAATAATAAGAAGATGAAACAAAGAAAAAAAGTATTAACAAAAGAGAAAATTTGTAGTGACAAAAAGGGTGAAATGATATATGGGACCATTTTGAGAAAATCGGTGAAATGTGGGATTATTTATGTAATGTTTCTAGGTTATCAATCGGTCAGGAATCAATGAAAGAAATTATGGTGCAAATGTGAGATTGTTCTAGAATTATGTATATGTGTGGTTATTTTGAGAATACTGTTGAAACTTGAAAGGAGAGATTATTGTTGCGAATTTTTTTATAAATCTTAGTCTTTCATCCATACAACAGCATCCTCCTAATAGACTATTTTCAGTTTTATTTCTCTATTTAATAGATGCCAACACATTAATATAACAAATTTAATACTACCTCCGTTCTGAAAATGTTTGTCATATTGACTTTTCTTGGTCACCAATGACAAACTTTGAACAATGATTTTAATTATTACATTTGTATATAACTTATACTCGGTAAATTTTATACTTTTATAAAAAAAAATTAATAAAGAATATTTTGATATATTTTTCAAATTCTAAATAATTTTATATTGAAAAATACCATTAGTCAAAGTTGATTATCATTGATCAAGAAAAATCAATTTGGCGAACCTTTCGAAGGGAAGGGAGAATTAATACTCTGTAGTGTTTTTGGTTAAACAATTTAATTATTCGCACTGCAGTTAGTTTTTTAATTGAGGCAATTGTCACTCATATTATATCAAGATTATTTGTAGCTAATCCACTCACCCACACGCTCGTGCAGGTTGGCATTTGGTATGGGATTTTATATGGTTGCTCGAGGGTTTGTTGTGCTTGTTTCGGATAAAGAGGTGCGCTATTCTAATGGACACTGTTCCGTCTCCCACCCCTTCGATATGGTGATTGCAGCAATTGCTTGGTTTCTACACGGTGGATTTGTCGCTCTGGCATATTACACATTCCGTGATGTCTCTGCTTGACGTGCACTAGAAGGAAGATACACCAAATGTTAACTGGAACGATCTACAAGGGCCGTTTAATTACTTTGAGATTTGAGAGACCATGTTTTGAATGACAAATCGAGATCTGTAGTATACCTTTGAGAAGTATTTATTTATACACAATTTGGCAAATGACTTATCACCCAACTTTTAGCTTGTTTAGCCAATTTTAGCGTTCTTTAGTCAAAGGAGTCAATGTTTATGTTTGGCAAATGGCTTTTTAGGTTGGCTTGTTGATGAAGTCCGAAAAGCTGTAAAAATGATTGGCAGGAAAAGTCAAGGAGGGCAGCCTTTGTATTCGGCTGCTTTAGTTTTCCCACCAGGGGTATAGGGCTCCAACGTCCAAAGTTTCTATTCAGCTGTTTCTTTGATGTTTTGCTTTTTTTCTTAAGTTAGTCAACATTTACGTAACTAAATGTTTTGCTTACAGGAAAAAACAAATTATTTTTCGATTCTCTCTTTTTTTTTTCTTTCATTCTTTTGGCATGGGTTAGCCTTTTTTTGAGGAATGGGTAGCCTTTTCTAAATTAATGATCTTTTTTTCTTTCATTCTTTTGGCATGGGTGAGCCTTTTTTTAGGAATATAATGGCTAGCCTTTTCTAAATTAATGATTTAAGTAATACTCCGTATGTACTAGTAATTACTCCCTAATAGTTTTAAAGTCAACTTTTTTAACCAAATACTATTTGACAAAATAATACCGAGTATATGCTTTTTTTATAGTATACCGAGTATATGCTTAACTAACATATTATATTATTTTATATTAATAGTTATGCCTTTTATCTTGAATTAAAATAGAATTTATTCAAGAAATTTGAAAAATTACAAATATATATATATATATATATATACACACATATACACACACAGGGGAGAGATCCCATGCAAACCAAGCTTCCGGTGCAAACTACAAACCCACAACATTCGTTGATTTGAATAATACGGACGTTTGATGAGTATAAGATGCATGATTGAAAGTGTGCACTTAGTCATAGGTGATAAAAACGGATATCACTAATTTAATGTTTTGGTCTATTAAAAGGTCACAAAAGTAATTGTATGGTGCCACTAAAATAGGAATTTCTTTTAACTATATATGGAAATCCATTACTGTACGGTTACACGTTTACACCATGTGCATTTGTCTCTCTTTTAATTTTAACTTTGGAAATCCATTATGGTACGATGCCTCCAAATTTTAATCAGTTTTAACTTTTAACTTTGGAAATCCATTAATTACAGGTTGCATAGTTTCTCCATATATGTTTAAATAAGGAAAATTGCAATTTTTCTCCATGCGTGGAATCCCTCGTTTTGTATCAGCAAATTGAAAAAAAAAACTTTCACATTTCAAATATTAGTAATTAATTGTCAGCCATTAAATAAATAACTTGATTTTTGGAATTAAACACTTCTTAATTGACCTTTCATTTTTTAGCACTGCATATTAGGGTTACAGAATGTGCATAATATATTAAGGTTGCGAGATGTGCATATTAACGTTAGTGGATGTGCATATTAAGGTTACGAGGTGTGCATTATATATTTATAATATCTCAATATAACTCATATTAGAACCACATAGTGATAAAATATGTCGATCTTGCATTTAGGTAGTTCATATATTGCATTTTCATTGTAACATCTGAATTTTAGTGCTTCATATGTTGCATTTTGTCACTATGACAGATGCACTTAGAAGTTTAATTTTTATATTTTGTTTTACATAGATGATATGTGCACTTTAGAAGTTCATACTGCATCTTATGGTCATGGCATCTGCATTATATACTCAACTGAAAAGCATACTAAATTTATGATGGGGTCTTTTTACAAGTTCGTATATTGCAATTTAGTAAAATGATGTGTGTATTTTAGAAGTTTATACTGCATCTTACCGTTTTACCATCTGCATATTAGTAGTTCACATGTTGCATTTTATCATTGTGCCATGTGCATTTAGAAGTTTATATAATGGATTTAGTAAGATTATATGTGCACTTTAGAAGTTTATACTGCATCTTATCGCTATGACACCTCCATATTAGTAGTTCATATGTTAAATTTTATTATTATTACATGTGCATTTTAGAATATCGTGTAATGCACTTCAGTAAAATTGTAAGTACACTTTAATAAGATGACATGTGCATTTTAAAAGTTTATGCACTGCATTTTAGTAAGATGACATGTACATTTTAGAAGTTCATATCGTGCATCTTGTCATTATGATATCTCCATTCCATATTAAAATGACATGCATTCATAATCCAAAGAGATCACACATAATGCATAATACGTGAGAACCATGTTCTAAATGGTAAAAATTAAAAATAAAATTTACTGAAATTACAAGTTTGCAAACATGAAAATGCTAAATTGATATAAAAACTATAGAAAAATAAATAAGTTAAAAGAATCTTTTCAAAAGATATTGAGGTAGCTTTCCGCGCCATAACGCATAAGAAATTCAAGAACTTTGCATAAACATGAAATTATTGAATTGATATGGAAACGAAAACCAAAACAAAATATTGAAAAATCGGTGTGCACATGAATTCCTTGGCGATGCCGGAATCCATGGACTTTGAGAAGTAATGTACTCCCTATGCATGCCAGAACATATAATGCATGAGTTTGAATAGAAGACAAACATCAACCATATTCTATTAAATTTGAGATAGAGAAAAAAATTAGATGGAGATTGATGGAGATGGAGATGAAGATGGGGACTAGGGTGGAGATGGATACGCAATCGAAGATGGAGACATAGACAGAAAGGTAGACGGTGAAGCTTTGATGTTGGAGAAAACTTTGGTCGAACGTGTAGGAAAGGAACTTGATTCCATGGCGTTCGATGATAATGATGGGAGATGATTAACTGCAGTAACCGGAGATGGAGATGGAGATGGAGATCAGAAATATGGAATGAAAGAAAAAATGGAAATGAGGTAGTTATGGGAATCGAAAGAAACGGACGTGAGTTTTTTTTGCCCATTATTAATGTTGAGTAATTGACTAAATCAACCTCATGAGAGATCAAATGAAAACCCATCTTAATATGCTAACCTACAAACATAATCCTAACCCTCCATCTAATTACATAACCGTTCGGTTCTACATGTTTGAAGACAACAAGCTTATTACACATGAGGGTGCTTTAGTCATTTGACTTAAATCTAATACTGGAAGAATCATGTTCCATTCCTTAACCGCCTATACTCTCGTTAGATCCATTACATCTTTGCAATTCTCATTAATTATCTTCCATCTCTGCGATTAATAGCTAGTCGTCTCCATCTCTCTGCTTCTCTTCGTCTGTCACTAATATCAAAGCTTCTGGTTAATCTCTTTCAATCACTGTTGTCGAACGCCATGGAATCCAGTGTTCTGTATGAACTCCAATTTTATACTGGAAATTTGTAGTTATCATCTTTCAATGTATTTATGAATCACTATGCGTATGATTTTATTTATTTGATTGATGTGTATATTAAACGTTGATAGTGTCATCTTCCTTCTTTTTTTGTGTTATTACTTTACTTTAATTTGTTGAACTTCGTTTTACATATGTGTCCTTCGTTAATTTCCTTTTTTTAATGTCAATTTCTAAACAATTTCTATGGCCACAGAGAAGGGATGATCTTGCTTATAAGGATTTTCATCACCAATTTGTTCTGAAGGGGGGTAGGTGTTTGAGGAGGTACAAGGTCAATTAGCAGGTTATGCAGCTAATTGCCAGAGCATTGGGGTGATTTTTTATGATATAGATGCAGACATCCGTCTATGTATCCATCTCCATCTCCATCTTCATATGACACCATGAAATTTGTATGATGTCAATTGAGTATACAATGCAAATACCATAAAGATGAGATGCGGGAAATGGTCTTCTACAATGCAAATGTCATAAAGATAAGATGCAGCAAATGGTCTTCTACAATGCAGCAAATGATCAATTTCATGTTCATGCAAAATTCTTGTAATTTAGTATGCAAAACGTTTACCATTTAGAAGACGTTTGTCAAATATTATGCAGCCTGCGACACCATAAGTTTCATATGCATATCACTTCAATCTACCATGCAGATGTCATAACTATAAGATGCATCAAATGATCTTGTACGATGCATATGTCACCTTACTAAAATGCAATATACAAACTTCTATTATGCACATATCAGAAGGATAAAATGCAACATATGAGCTACTAAAATGCAGCTCTCATAAAAATAGGATGTAGTGTGAACTTTTAAAATGCACATATCAGCTTTGATGGATAGCGTACCCGGGGGGTAGCTTATCCGAAGGGCTATTGCGGAGAATAACTAGAGAGAAGTCAAAGCAAACAAGTGAGAGAGAGAGAGAGAGTCAGATATATTAATGAAATCTGATATAGGATCCTTTACAAGAGGAATAAAGGCTGCTATTTATAGCAGCCATAAATGCGAGGAGAGTACATGTGTCAACAATCTAATGGCCAAGCAGTCATCTCAATCGGGGTGGCACCGGCATTCGCATGTGCATCGCATTAAATGCGGTGGGTGGATGTGACGCCGTATTAAATGCGGTGGTTGTCTGTCTCCAAAGGGAATTTTCGATGATTGCGCTGTAGCCGAAGGCTCCCCTGTGGCTGAAGGCTCTGTGTAGCCGAAGGCTACCCTTGTGCCGAGGGCGTCTATGAGCCGAAGGCTCCTAATTTCTGCTGCTTTCTCCCAGTAGCTTTGTATGCCCAAATGAAGCTGTCTTGTTGAATCTAGAGCCCTCGGCCATAGGGACGAAGGCACCCATATGTGCACCGTGGGCTTCTTAAGACTTGGGCCACTGTGTTTGGGCTTTATGTGCTCATTGGGCTTGATGGGCCTGAGTAGGAAAAGTATGAGTCTAGGGACGGGGTCCCTGGGCCATATACTCCATCAAGCTTATTTACTGAAGTGCAATATAAAAACTTCTTAAGTGCACATGTCAAAATGATAAAAGCAATATATGAACTACTAAAATGCAGCGCCTTTTTAGATGTTATAACGACTATAAGAATATGAACTTTATACAATTGTATGGTGTTGGCTTTCCAACTGACGTAGAACAAAAAAAAGTGATTATGAATAATTCATATGACATTAAGAGGCCGTTTGTCAGTACTGTTTTTCGGCTTATCAGGCTTATCAACAACCTTTTTCACCAAACACACAACTTTTGCTTTCGCGCGCTAAATTGTGTAATAAGCAGAAAAAGTAAAGTCAGAGTTACTTTTCTGGCTGTATTGGCTGAAGTTATTGCAGATGACCAGTTTAGCTATTTTTACATATAATTTCTTCTTTATTATATTAATAAAATATATTTAAAATTATTTTTTTCTTAAATTAGCAGAATCATCCAATGCAGCCACTTCAGCCAGAATTTCATCAATTTCAGTAGAATCAACCAAATCAGTCAATTTTGATGCTACCAAACGGGATCTAAGTTTTCAATTTGGTTTGCTAAATAAAACAATATATTTACTCAAACCCATTTTTTTGTAAGGCACCTTGGAGGCATCGATTTTTACTCATTTTTTCCCCTATGTACACACCAATTTGA